TTGACATTTGTTCATGGAAATATGTTTAAATGAAATCAGTAGGTAAATTTCTAAATTAGAATACATGCACTTTGCTTCTTGAAAGCAAATATGAAGAAAATGCCCTTAAATCAATTAATTCCTCTGATTTAATCATAAACACATGGAGATTGATAAGTCACAATGTAAGTTTGAATAGCCAATGTTAATATTAAATTATTGCCTAAAAATATTAAAAATGAAAAAGTCCATTTTGCTCTGTTGACAAAATCATGATAATTAGAGTATACCAGCATTGGTGACTCATCCTGCTTTAATTGTCATCCGATTTGCAGACTCGATTTTCACTGCAATTGACCAATGAGAGCCAAGTGAATGAAGATGGCTCTTGGGGGGGGATATTCGGTGCTCATGGGGTGCCTTTTTTTGACATTTGGTATGGCAGTGGACCCAAAGGAGCACGTAGGTTATCGCAAACAGCAAACATCTGCTTGCAGCGAGAAGACGGACCGGTTCGGGGCAATCTGCTTGTAGCGAGAAGACGGACTGGTTCGGAGCAATAGCTGATGAAATTCTTTGTTACAAAGTTTGGCATTTTTTATAAAATCAAACACGCGTCATTGAAACTCACAATATGTAAATAGCATGTCATTTACATCATACCTTGATGGGGAAAAATAGATCTTATATGTTGGAAGTACTAAATAAAAGTTATCGTGAAAATGAGACAGTCGTTCTCGAGAGAAAAGAGCATAAATGCGCATTTAGAGAGTTTTGGTCCGTTTAAAAATCTGTAAAAAATTGGGGTACTTAAAAGCATCGGGAGGCATCATATATTTCAAATTAGACACGAGGAAGTCAATATTGAGCAAGTTATGGCTATTTTAAATTCAAATAAAACTGTTAACCCGTACCGGTCCAGCTTTTGACCCGTACCGGTCAATTTTCGTTAGCTGCGTATACCAAGGGTGTTCATTATCTTCAAGAAAAGTATATATAATGACAATTTAGTTAATCAGACCTAAGTGATATTGAAGGGGCAATGGACCAATCGACATACTTTTTCAAAAATGCTGACATAATTTTCACCAAAAATGCAACCTTTTACTATATTGTTGAATGCATAATTAGAATGTGCTCTGAGACATGTTCGATTTCCTAAAAGGAAAAGTTGATTGCTCCAGGGACTTTAAAGATACTGAATTTGGATGACCAAAATGAACTGAAACCAATGGATAGCATGAGATTTTTTAATGGAGAAATAACATGGGGAACACTTATCTTAAAGCAATTCAGTTTTTCTTTCAAGAATTATTTGATTCATCAAAATAAAGAATAGAAATGCATTAAACATTGTAAAAAATGGTGAAAATGGGGTCAACACCTTTGAAAAAGTGTGTTGATGGGTTGATTACTAGTTAAATATCTCCGTGTTTGTTTGACTATTATTACTGTATATACTTTTCTTTGAGGTAATGACTTGATCTAAAAGATCAACCTGTCTTCATAGTCAGAAAATAGTCAAAATCCAAAATATAACCTTCTGAAATTGTTTGCGATAACCTATGTGCTCCTTTTAGGATCTGGTATGAGAATGCCCCCAAATTATGACTTTTGAGCTATGGCAATGGTTGAATTTTCCACTTTCTGGTATGAGAATGGTCATGGAAGTCGTTACCTCACACTTGTGGTATGGCATTTGTCTAGTAATTACACATATCCTTAATTTGAGGTTGTTGTCATGGATTGTTTTCCTCAAAGATCTGCCTTCTTTCCAGGGCTATAGACATTTTGAATGCCTTTGGTCTTATATCTGGATATTTGGTATGGCATTGGTCCTATATTTGTACATTTGGTAAGGCATTGGTCTTATATTTGGACATTTGGTATGGCATTTGGGCGTTATTTTGGTTGGTATGGGAACACATTGAAATTTGACAGATTGGTATGGGAATATATTGATATCTGAGGGTTCAGCCTAGGACCCCTGCCAAATTTTGTATACAGTGACCCCCCCTGGCTCTTCTTGTGTTATATTGAGTTTTAAACATATTCATGATATGCCTTCATTGATGATTCCTGGGGAAACATAATACGATGTAACAAAATTAACCTGATTTGTACATGCCAACTTTGGAATTTGTTATTACTTGCAATTTGCAATTCATAGATGCTTACTTCTGTGACCCAAGTTTATATAACTCAAAGTAATCCTAAATTTTACCTTCCTCTCCTACACTAATTGAGTAATATTATCCATCAAGTATTTCTTTACTTTCCGTTATGGAATTGATACTAGAATATCTGTAAAAATATATGTGATGTTTATAATCTCCCAAAGATCAAGTTAAAGTATGCATTATGCATTAGTTTTTCCTAGTAATACATCTATGCATTGAAATATAGGCATTCTGCATGCCATTAGTGCTTTTATTATCCTATTATGAGTGCATGTATCTGTCTTAAAGCTATAAAAACATTGTCACTTTAATTTTTCTTCTGTCAATTGTCAATTATGAATTTGGAGTCGAGAAAACAGATGCAAAAAGTAGAAAATATTGTGATGAAGACCTTGTCCTTAAATATACCCTGCGCGCAGAGTCTAGTTAAACTACACTCTGCCTAGTATAAACCATATTACAGTTTAGTAGCCCCGCCCCCACGACGGATACCGGTGACAGTTTTGGAAATAAATCACTTCTGACCTACGCGCTGACGTAATCAGCGAGCTTGAAGAAACATACGCTAAATGCGTGCTAATTAAATATGCGCATGTCATTGGCCGATTCCGGGCTCAAGGATGACGTCAGAAGGAATGACTATATATAGAACGTCGGTCAAATTTGGCCAACGAACACTGATTGGCGCGGTGAGTTCACAGGTTTATTTTAGTTTGAAAGAGTGAAGACGAAGCTCTCTTTTAAGAAGTGAAGTCAAACGAATGCAAAGGGTACCTTAAATATTGTATACTGAGACAATTATGGGGGCCATAGAGTGAACATTTTGGAGCTTTGTCCAAAACATAGTTCACTGCTTTGTTCACTACTTATTAGCATCAAAATGTACCTGGGTCAGATATTATCATGACATTTGATCTCATGTTCATTAAAAGGTATTGTACTCCGACTGTACAAGACGAAGCTCTCTTTTAAAAGCTAATTTGAACGAATGAAAGGGGAAAAGGAATTGGATTTCAGTTATAGTAATGCTCACTGATAATGATAAACAGATGGACTATGGTTGAAATAATAAATACTGGACAAAAAGAAAAAGGGAAATCAAAGCTCAATAGCCCAGATTTGAGTAGGTAGTTACCAATTCCACCACCAGGTGGCTAATTCGGTGCAGATACTACCAGATAGCATGGCAGATATAATAGAAAGTTGCCTTGGACTTGAATACTTTAGTTATAGTGGTTCAATAATCATATTACACCTCTCATATGTATCTGATAGTTATGAAAATTGAAATTTGTTCAGGAAAAGAAAAAATGTATCTGTACAAGAAAAGATATTTCACTTTTTGTGATTTTATAACACAGGGTCTCTGGGAATCTCCCTGACCTTGAAGTCACATATTCAAAGAAAATTAAATTTTCGATTCAAAGTTGATAAACAATTTTCGAAACCACTTTTGAAGATGTACTTTTACTTGTAGATTTCAAATATGACATCACTTTGACTGAATTTTGAATATTTAATGATGGAAAACAAGATTATATCTAGTCGCATCTATTGATATAGCGCAAATAACTTTGCCCTAAATGCTGAGAGGCTTTTCTAGATGTTGTTTTACATGCAAATTTCAAGTATAATATCACTTTGACTAAATTTTTTATGACGTAAATCAAGATTATTTCTACATGCATCTAGTCTATTAAATGTGAAGAAGGAATACGGTACACCCCTACCCCCTCCCTCACAAGACATAATTTGGTGTTCATTGTGGATTTTATTTCGAATAACCTGCTGATATTTCAAGTGGAAGACAGAAGCCCCCACACATCTTATGAATTAACCTGAGGTGAATGTGATAATCATCTTTAACATCTTTAATTCAAGACTTGTGCAAATGTTATCATAGCTGAGATGCTGTTGTTGATCTTGGCAAATTTTTAGTCAATCAAATGTTTAGCATTCTGACTGGGAGCCTGAAGCAAGTAAATTTAGATCCATGGTGACATTGTTTAAATGCAGCATCAAAACATTAGAACATGAAAACAGCTTCGGCTTATGAAATCAAAACATATTTTATGGGTCATTTAACTATGGACTCTTTGGAGACTTCCGTCCCCATGGTTAGACATAACAACTTTAAATCTCTGAAAGAGGAGACTTAAAGGTGATCTTACTTCAAGGCCTTATGAACCCCCCCCCCCCCCTCTCTCTCTCTCTCTCTACCCTATACACCTTACCTACCTTAATGTGAACTAGATAGAAGGGAGAGATGGTCCAGGTACTTATGTCACACATGGAAAGGTTACAATGGGAAATTTACTCACTTAAAAGACATTGGAGTATACTTAATATTTTATGCTTTTGAATTGTGTCATTATAAGGTATTAGCGATGAAAGAAAAATACAACTTCCCACCTTAGCTTAACCAAAGGCAAAATTAATTTGTTTACAATTTTCTTTGTTTGGATAAGTTTGAAAATTATTTGTTGGAAATAAATTATCGTCAAAACATTAAATGATATTATATCATCAAAGAACATTGTTGCTGACATTTATAGGTTTCAATCTTTCGAAAGATGTAAAATTACTTGAAATAGAAAAATGATAAAATGCATTGTAACAATGTACATTACTAAAATATGTTAATGCTCAATAGCTAATAATCCTTTTAGAAAAGTATTTCCTTAGTAAATATACTGACTGGAATGGTTACACAATGTAAATGTAAAGCCTTAATTAAGAACATATGCTACATTCAAGACAGATTTAACTACACAACTAATAAATAAAAGCAAATGAACAAACATACAAAAAATAAAATAAAAATGTGAATAAAATACTTGCCTCCCATCTTATTCTTTCATCTTCAATTTTCGTGTTTGTTTCAATTTCGTTTTCACGTCTGTTTGGCTCAGGTGCTTTTATTCCTTGGAACTTCAAGATAAGTTGTTTAAATACAGCTTGTTGCTGAGTAAGCTTTCTCTCCAGTTCCTTTATTTTGTCTCTGTTGTCTTTGATCTCATTTTGCATGCCCTGCATGACACAGGGAGTTGGTGCAAGCCAGGGCTCCCCCGAAGTACACGTGTTGTAATCCAACCCATGTACCACAGCAATCACGACATGCACCACTGTACAACAGAGTATAGAACTCATGAGAAATATTTGCATGTTTGTTCCCAAATGCTTAACACTCCTTCAATCCAGTCTTTAAATACTCAGGTCCGACCAATTTGATATTCTTAGTCCTAATATAGCTCAGTTTGGCTCAGGGAAAAGATTTACTCCTCCAAACAACAAGTTTATAATCACTGGTTCCCTGAACAGCCCTCTTGGCAAGTGAAGCAATGTTTGATCAAGATTTTCATTTCGCAAAAGGTGAAATTATACAATAGTATAGTATGCTGTACCCTATAATTAAAGCTGTTGAATAGGAAGTGCTTTGTACATCATGTGGCTATTTAACTCAGTGGGCAAACTAATCCATTCATTAGAATTCAACAAATTTTGGCTTTTAAGCAATTTTTTAAAAAATTGGCAAAGTATTTTTCAGTGCAGGAGGTGTAGACAACCATCAGTCATCATGCGAGAATGTCTGTGTTTATTGATATACTGTAAGCCAAAGTTTTTTTCAAGTGATTGATTTTTTCATATTTCACATACATTGTAGATATGATATCGAGGAATTTAAAGGCACTCACAAAGTAGAATTCTAGGTTTTTCACAAAATTGATTGCATTTATGAACATTTTTTTGAGTCATAGCCATAAATGATTTCAGAACAAAACATTATTTGAGGGAATGATAATGTAACTTCAGTGTTCAAGAAAATGGGTTTTGGGGTTGCGGGGAATGTTAAATTAGCACTTCAAAAAGCTGATGGATAGTTTGAGATGATCCCTTGAATTCATGAATGCTCAGTTGTTTCAGATTTAGATTATCATGGCATGTGTATGTTCAGATTCAAATATCACAAAGATTTAATCGGTCTATTGGTTTCCAAAATTGATTATTGTGACTGATTGTGTAACTTCAAAAGACTTCAATGTATTCATTAAGCATACATCATACAGTTCATCACCTGAGCTAATCAAGTTTTATCTATAAACATATGTCATGTGATATTTGATCTTTTGATGGTTTGAGTTAATAGAATAATGAGATGAACAGAATAATAGTATTGCATGGAATCCCAGCTTATTTCTTAATAAAAACAACAAAATTAATTATACATCTAATCATTTTTGTAAGTAGTTTAAATACCGTAATCAAAATGTTAGTACCATCTGAACAACCACAAAAAAGCTTTCTTTGGAAGTTAGATTGTGATATGAACAATGTGTTACAAATTCCTGACTTAATATTTCATTGGATGAGGGAGAGATCAATGAATTGTCTATAGTTTAAAGAGTTTAGCTGGACTGAAGTCAGGACTGAATTTCTTGTAAAGGGTTGAGTGGTTTTATACCACAAAGCAAAAATGTCAACTTACAGATTGTTAAAGTGATGGATTGTCAATAACAATGATCTTGGCCTGGAATGTGTCCTAAGTAAATACTTCTTCTAAACAATTTTTATATAACATTATATTTGTACTATAGTCAAGATTTTGATGCTTATTTTCATGTTAATAGTCTCAAAAATGGCTTGTGTTTTATTGGATCATTAACTTTTTTCAAAGTGTCAAGAAGTCTGACAGAAATTTTGAAATTTTTTTTATTTGATCTTGAAAAGGTAGGAGTTCTCAGAATTGCTAAGAAATTGCTAACCTGAGAATTTATAATTTGAAATGATTTTGAGTCAATGAAAGATGAGCTAAGGAAAAATTAAACTCTATTTTTGTGAAAAAACTTGTATGATAATGTCTTGTTAGTACTATTATTTAAATGTGGCCTTTAAGACCTTTACTTCATGCAGAAAGGTACATTGATATCTTAACCAAGCCCCTTACAGTTGCCATAAGCTAGCATTTTTTTCTTTGGACATTTGTATGAATGCATTTATTGGCGCATTTATAGGCGTCCGTCCATATGCCCTTTGGACTATGTCCATTCCTATATAATGCCCTCTGGCGATTTAGGGATGCTATTGTAACTGTATTTTAAACTATATCAATGAAATAAATAATTAAAAAAAAATATGTCCTTTGGACTTTATAAATGTCAACATGAACATGTACTTAATATAATTAAATAAATTGTAGATTGTTAAGTGATTGAGCTAATATTAATGGTCATTGATGCAACTTCAAAATTATGCAACAAACACAGGCTGACACAATGTCATTAAAATGAGTTATTTTTGCCAAATCAGGAAAATAATTCCACTTGTTGAATCGAAAAGACAAATATATATTACTGGTGTAACATAATGTAATATTTATATCAAATAGGATTATGAAATAATATTGGCATGATCAGATTATAAGACTGTACAATAAACATTGTTTGTTTTGATTATTTACTCATGTTCAGTCAGACCCTGGGAAATCTGAAACATATAAATGTTTGAAATGTGCATACAGTATTCGTACATGATGTTTTCTTTATTCATATTTCTTATATGTACATCTGTATTTAATTTTATATCACTCTTTTCCATACTGATATGCTAAAGCAAAGCTTTGAAAGTATATTTAGAATACACTCATACAGAAAATCAAATTTTGATTGAATCTCTTTTTGATTTAAATGTAATATAATATCCTAATGGATCTTATGGGCATCACTGCATTGGTCCATTCATCAGAATTGTTAATCTTAATATTCACTTCGTGTAAGAATATTCATTTTATGTCTACCCAAAGATCTAATTTCATTTCTAATGCTGCCCTTTGTGCTTTTCATTTCAGAGGCTTGAGGTGAAACTGACAAGTCTAGTTGCAGCACAGGACGCATATACAAAGTCCAAGAATGAATGGGCTGCAAGGGTAAGACTGGATATAATTCCATCTTTTTCCAACTTAGTAGTTTACTTCTGTATAATCTAAGCATATGGTCTTCGTAAAACTTCTCAAGTCAAAACTTTTCTTCAATACATCTTTAGTTTTTTCTTTCAATTTGAATTAATTTTTTTAATTTAAAGATTTAACATAAACTAGTAAGAAAACATTTATAAACATAAAACCCCCTTTTCAATTCTCATGTTAAATAGTCCAAGCTATGGCTCCAGTATAACATTGGCATTATGTCTAACACACAATCCATATAATACACAAATCCTATACATGGAGGTTTCAACCATCGTGGTAAGGGTATAAGAATGGATTTCCATGTGAAACTTATTATATTTATTAATTGCTGTAACAAACAAACATGGTTTGCTGAAGATAGACAGGTCGGATGACTAGACATGAAATTCTTGAGTATCTCACAAATATAATTTCCTAAATAGTGCAAGTTCCAATTTAGTTATGTCCAATCCAGTTCAGGTATTTCCTATACAGGACACCCAAGTATTTCAAATCGCATTGAGATGTGCCCATTCCAAGAGATTGGGTTGATGCGGATATGTTGTGCAATAATTGGAGATATTTTGTTTAACACTCTTGTGTCTGCATCAAAGTTGCCCTGGAATTCCTGAAAACATGGTATATGCACATTATGATTTGTCGTACTTCATGGTCAATGGAATTATTCATAACTTTGTCTCATCAGCCCTTAGGACAGGATTGAATTCTGTGTTTTTAATATAACTGAAGTTCGCTTTTGGTCACCATGTATTTGTACTATAAACTTGTTAAAGACTTGTGCTTTAAATTCAAATATTATAGCCTCCTCATTTACTGAATCATTTTGCATTAGATTTTATTGATTCATCATGTAATTGCTGTTCGAGTTACTATTTATTTCTCTACATTTGCCAATTGTAAAGATCAATCTGGCCTTTGGGTCACTTAAATAGAGGTATAAGCACACTTGTCTTAAATCAATTGGTGGAAAAAGATAAGATGAAGAGGGGGCAGGGCAACACAGGGGCTTCATTAAAATATGTTTCCCACATAGGCTTTCCACATACAAAATAACTTTACCTGATTGTAAAGTATAAGTTGCTCATCTGCCCCAGCATACCATACTCTGTAGGAGGTGACCCATTGGTTGGTTGCATCTCCCCCTTCCTCACTCCTCCCCTGGGTAATGACTCCTGTTATCTGCCTAAGAGCCCCCAGGTCTACCTCTATCCACTGTGTTGTGTCTAGGGAGTTACCATTTGCCACCCATCCACCACTTTTAGACCCACTATAGACATAAGAAAATTTTGTTACTATGCAGTTATATCTCCTCTAAATGTTCTTTTTTCTGATATATTTGATTATATTATCTGATGTGAAAATTCATAATCTCAGTATGTATGTTTAACAATCTTAGTATAGTGCTGCCCTCTTTACAACCAACTTAATCTAATTATTATCCAAATGGAAATTGAAAAATCCAGCTGACCGTATCTCTGTATTAAGTCTAGCTCTTTCAGGTCCATTATCTCTCTCCTGTGCCACGGAAGAAGCAGAGAAGCTGGCATCTGGGATATTATACTCATCCCCTGACAGTAGAGCTTCTCCAATGCACACTGAACCTAAATAAGGAATATCAGATAGAATTGAAGAGATATTAAAATACATGAATGTAGGTGCTAGCTAAAGCAACACATTATTGAATGAAAAACTAGGAAGAACCCAGGCCATGTACAATAAGTATTGCTAATTTTTAATTTTGTTATGTTTCATATTTCTCCATGAAACTTTTACAACATAAGCAACACATATCTGACCTTATTCTATCCAAATTTCTGGACAAGGTTATGGTTACTAGGGTAACCATTGTCACAGATACCCAGGGCAACCTTAAGGGTTTACATAATGAATTATTGTTATCAAATAAACACTTTGATGAATAAAAACTGTTGATATGGTCAAATCTTGATGTTGTCAGTTTGAATTATATGTATTATCTAACAGCGGTGCTAAGAGATCTGAGAGGAATATTGCACTAGAGTCTAGAATCTCAATCAGCGGATGTATGCAGTGAACACTGCACATCCCTATCCACACACTTCAACGTCCTCAAAGAGCAATATCGACATATACGGTCCATCAGGATAACGCCCCTGCTCACAGATCCTCTACTCTCCTATATAAATACAATAACAGAGCTTAGCATGGAAGCGTTGCCCCACGCAGCATATTTTTAGATAAGGCCCCCTTGATTTTGTTGTATTTGCCTCAGTGAAAAGGGATCAGAAGGGAATATCGCACCAGAATCTCAATCAGCTGATAACTGCAGTGAACACCTCCCTAGCCACACACTTTAAGGGTGGCTTCAAAAATGTGTACCATGAGTGGGTCGCCAGACAGCAACTGTGCATTGACGTTAAGGGTACCTGCCTGGTTTGAGCACCTCATGAAGTTAATATGGATCATGAAGTGACTCTGGAATGGATTATTTATAACTGAACTGCATATCCCAAGAGTGAAACGGCATTAAATGATACTGCTTTGAACACTCAAAATGTCGTCCAAAGTGACGTCAGAAATTTGCCCCGCATATCCATGATACTGGTTACCTTAGTAACCATAACTTTGATAGTACTGATTCGATTGTCTTGAAACTGTCATAGAATAAATTCAGATATATCTATCTTATGTTGTGAAAGTTTCATGAAGAAAAAGCAAACATAACAAAAGTTATAGCAAAATTAGCAATACTTATTGAACGCCCTGTATTATGAGTGTAATTGATTCTTACATTTTACATCAGACAGTTGTTCCTTCAGTTCTCTTTGACAAGCTTTCAACTCTTCATAAATGTCATTTTGCGTTTCCATGAGATCATTTTTCATTTGCTTTTGCCCTGCTATCAACTCTTCACTCCATTCTATCACTTCGTGAACATTCTCCTTCAATGCATTCTGGTTTTCGGCAAGATCGCTGCACAGTTCTTTAGTTTCATCCTGGTTTGCTTTTATTTGTTCTTGACACTCTTTTATTTCATTAAAATCATTTCTCAGGTTTTCATTTTCTTCTCTTGATTCATGAGTGCTTTCTTTCAGTTCTTCTATGCAGTCATTCAAATCAGTTTGTTTTTCCATTATTTCATTTAAATTTGGCATTAGTTCATTTTGTTGACATTCTTTCAGCTGGTTTTGGCCATCTGTCAAATCCTGTAGATATTCCTTTAGTTCAGCATTGGAGGATTCTTCTGGTTCTTGCATATGTTCATGTATTTCATCGAGACTTTCCTTCATTTCCAATTGACAATCTTTGATTTCATTTTGGTTATCCACCAACTCATGTATATATTCATTCAATTGGCCTTGTCCCTCTTTTATTTCATTTTGACATTCTTTTATTTCATTCTGCCCTTCTGTTAACTCATTGATCACTTCATTAGCTTCATGTTGACTTCCTTTTATGTTGTCCAGGTTTTCTTTTATTTCAATCTGGCATTCATTAATTTCATTCACATTTTCCTTTATGTCATTTTGTACTTGTTTTATCTCTTGAATAATTTCAAGAAACTCTGTTTGACCTTCCCGGACTCTCTGAACATTTTCATTGAATTCATTTATATTTTCAGAAATTTCACCAATGCTCTCATTTGTGTCATTCTGAACTTCAATTAACTCCTGAATATTCTCCTCCAGTTCATTTTGACTTTCTTTCAATCCCTGTAAAGTCTCTTCCTCATTATTTTCATTCAGTTCACCTACCATTTCTTTTATTTCAGCCTGGCATTGAGTAAGGTCTTTTATATTGTCCTTGAACACATTTTGACGCTCATTAAACTCTTGTTGGAAATCTTTTAAACCTGCTTGACCATCCTTAAGCACTTCAAGATTTTCCTTAACATGATTTTGCCACCAGTTAACACCATTAATGTTCTCTTTTAATTCATTTTGCCCTTCAAGCAGATTTCCAACTATGTCTTTGATTTGCTTCTGCCTTTCATTGAATTCAAGTTGACATTCTTTAATGTCACTTTCACTTTCTTTTAGCTCAGTTATGCTTTCCTTTATTTCATCTTGACATTCTTTCATCTCATTGATGGTCTCCTTAATTTCAACTTGGAAATCATTCAATTCATTTGAATTACTCTGCCCTTCATCTATTTCATGGTCATGTTCTTTTATTTCCTCTTGCCCTTCCATTAATTCATTCATTATCTCCTTCATCTCATCTTGTCCCTTATTCAGTCTATTTATTTTGTTATTGATTTCCTCATCAATGCCTTCTAATGTATCAGCCATTTCTTCATTGACTTCCTTAATTTGTTTTACACATTCCAGTAGTTCATTTGATTTCTCAAGCAGATCATTCTGTGTGTCTTCATTCATATTCTCCTTCTCACCATCCATTAACTCTTCAATATGTTCCATAAGCTCATCATGATCTTCTTCCATTGCAGTTTGACCACTTTCAAGTGTTTTCATACCTGAAACAATGGTTTTATCTAGATTTTTAATGTCCTTTTTAGTGGCAGGATCCATTTTCCCTCCATGGACACTCCATCCATAAGTGAGGAACACTACAAAAAAGATTATAATTCCATTCATTTTATTTTAAATAGTATCACACATAATCATATGGAAGTATTATAATAAAATTAAAATATTTTGAGTCAATATCTAGGTTTTCTGAACATACAGTATTGACATTTTGATTTGTGTTCACCAATAATTAGCAACAATAAAACAACTAATTCAAATGTTATGATATATCATAATATTACTGACCTTTAAAATGTTAAATGCTACCTTCAATTTTAGGCGAAATACCAATGTGAACTTCATACAGTGCAACTCAGTCTAAGCCTCCAAAAATGGAGAGATACTTGTTTAAACATATCATATTTGTAGTTTAATGTGAGCTGCCATCAGTTGTAATTTTTTGTACTATTACAATTAATGTGATTATACATATTAGTTTGCAATGTCTTTACCTTGATGCAGGCATCCCTTTTTGTAATGCACAAATATCAACAAGAAATAGGGGTCATAAATTTGCCATTTTCTTGAAAAACATTGAACATCTTATTTCTGTATCTATAGGTCAGTTTTCATAAAAATGATTCACACTTTACTGCCATTATTGTTATTGCCATTATACAGGGTGACACAAAAAATGACACCCACCTTACGTATAATCTGTTTGTCTATTAACATATAGACTTGTCCTTTGGCACGTTTAAAGTAGACATAATGCAAAAGCATGTCAAGAAATTTCAGATGTGTAGCTCAAGTGGGTCAAATTTTATGAGCGTTACAACATTTGCTCTAAATATCTTCCATTCCTTTACAGACACACATGGATTCTACACAAAAAATGCCACCAGCTTTTGTAACATAACTTTGTAAATACTACTACTGATGTAATGTAATTTTGTAATGCTCAAAAATGTGCATCTAGGTGAGCTAGTCATCTGAAACTTCTTGTGGAGTTGCAAAATGGATTGTAGTTCTAATGTGCAGAACTTCTTCAGACAAATAAGTTCTGAAATATTTTGTGGGTGGGTGTCATTTTTTGTGTCACACAGTATTTAGAGTTATGATTGTTTATCTGGAGGTTTTCTTTTACTTCTGTCACTACTTCTATTGTGAGGTCTAGAAAGTTTACAAAATAGAACAAGTGTGTTTTTCCAGCAAACAGAGGAGCAAGTGAAGTTACTGAAGTATCAGCGTAGACTGGAAGAGGAGTTGAACAGGCAATACATGGACCTATCCCTACACCAAACCATGTACAAGCTTACAATGGAGGCCAACCACAAACTGGCAGAATCACTAAGGAAAGAATTTAAAGTGCCTGACAGAAGGTAAAATTAAGTATTCTATCTCCCATTAATTTTCCTGAATAACTCTATGTCACGTATGTGCTTTAAATACATTTGAAGCAGACTTGAAATGTCATATTTTTATAACTCCCTTTTGCAAAGTATCAAAGAGATTATATCATCCCTTAACTGCTTAAAGTTGATAATAAATGCATATAATTATACATTTGATCCATACATTGCTTTGGCCTGATTTTCAACATTTTTGGGTTTATAGATTTAAACAATAATTCTGCCTTTTGTAATAAAATAATTTCAGATTTTGGTGGCTGAGAGTGAATGCATTATGTGAATCAAATGATTGGACAGAGCTAGAAAAGTTCTCCAAATCCAAAAAATCACCAATTGGTTATGAGGTAACCATTATATTAATATACATATATTAATATGCCAGTTTATTCAGTTCAATTTTGTATTCAATAAAAAAAAATTGGTAACATTTGCCCACCATGCAGATGCACATTTACTGAACATTCTCATTTTGTGTACTGAAGGTGAGATACTTATTCTTTAATTTCGAGAATATATGCAACTGGAATACATTTATTTTTCTCAAATTTTTTTGCCATATATTAAAGTTTAAATTAAACCTATTACTTTAACCTTCAAGTTAGACATAATGCGTATGCGCATGCATGATACTTATAGTTGATATAGAGTTCACAACTTAAGTTGAAAATATGATTTCCACAATTAAACACTGACGTTCTGTCCATTATGCCCAATAGGCAGCCAGCTTTTCAGGTCCATTTCCAAGTGTGAAAAGTTGTTGCCATTTGCAGCCTTGCAGCTGTGAGTTTTGACAGAAAGTTGCTGATATAGACATTCCTCTTCTTGATTTCCACTCATATAAATGTATGCAATCTATACAGGTAACATTTAATTTTTCAGCCATTTGTTGATGGGTGTATAAAATATGGAAACAGACATGAAGCTACTAAATATCTACCTAAGGTTAGCCAAGAAAACAAAGTCAACTGCTATATTAAAGTTGGGTAAGTTCAAAATATACAATATAATTCTTCACATTCATTGCAAATTATTTAGGAAATGTCTGTCAGCTTATAAACAATTGATTTTATAAATTTTCATTGAATTGCAAATCTATCTAAAGCAGTTAACATCTGCACATTTTAATGAAGTAACAATTAATGCTGGTAAATCAGTAGCCTAATTTTGAGCGTGATAAATTAAAGTGAAAAGTATTCAATTGCGCTATTCTATTGTTATTAGTGCTGAACCGCCATCTTATCTTATTATATTGTGTTGTAATGAGTGCTACCAAAGTGTTATATTGCTATATTGTTGTTATAAGTGCTATATAATGCTGTATTTCATTTTACTGTTATTAGTGCTGTTTTTTGTTACAGGCAACTAGATCAAGCTGCAGAATTTGCATTTCTACAGAAAAGTATCGATGACTTGAATATAGTGCAACAGAAATGTGGACCTATGAACCGAGCCACGGTGGAAAAAATACAAACTATGAAAGCTCAGCTTCAAACCAAACGATAGTCAAAGTTGAGGTTGAGTTCTTTCCTTTGCACACACATTCCTATTTTACATGCTTTAACAATAATCAAGCAAAAGAACCAATCATACATGTACAGTATGAATGCCAGATAGCAAAACATCATCCAAGGATTTCTGTAGTGGTATTCACATGACACTGATTTATGGAATCATGGGATACTGTACCTTGACAGTGTGGTTAACACTGCATAGCAGTAAAATGTAGCTGAATGTTAACAGGAATCATTGGACACTACCAGTGTTGGCATGTTGAACCATTCATGAGTTTTCATACAAAAATGCAAGAGAAACATGAAACCAAAGGTTTCACTATACTTTGGCATTATTGTTTACAAAAAGTGTGGACTTGAATATGAATATATTATTCATACTTCAATGAGAAAAGTGCAATATAAAATGCAAATTAATAACATAAGTAAAATGTGAAAGGCTAAATGTGACCCTATATGTGAATTTATTTTTATTCATTTAACCCTAATGCAGCGCAGCCAAGTGGGGAGAGGGTCAAATTGGTTTTCGCTCAGTACTTTTTTATTGCATTAGGAAAAAGTGTTATATTTCCATCGGATCATGCTAGTTATGTCATACCAAACATTGGTGACATGTTGTTATGGTATCCATTTTTGTGACAACTGTTGGTATCTGGCAGTTGACAGTTGGCGTCTGTAACAAATTCTTACAACTTCCAATAACCTTCCAATAACAAATACTGGTTCGACTGACTTCAATTTTTTTAAATCATCTACAAGTTCTCAGAAGTTCAAATCTGACTTTAGATTTGAGATTTGACCTTTAATGATCTCTCAAGGTCAAAAAGGTATTTTTTCAACTTGCTTAAATTGACCAATTATTTTACAAAATCATATATTCTCAGAAGTTCAAATTTGACTTTAGATTTGAGATTTGACCTTCAGTGACCTTCCAAGGTAAAAAAAAAGTCAAAAGGTCTTTAGGCATGCTGGGTAAATTACTTGTTGGCCATTTTGAATTTTTTCATAAATCTTGTCATCAAAACTGCAGGAAAATATCTTATCTGTTACACTTGAAATGTTTACAGATACAAGAGCAGACTAGTGCCAGCATTCTGATTAGCTTTTGGGTATGCTGGCTAAATTATACAAATCGGCCATTTTGGATTTTTCATGAATCTGGTCATTAAAATTTCAGGAAAGCCACTTGTCTGTTCAAATTGTACACGTGTAAGAGAAAACATGTGCTAACATTTGATTAGGTTCCTGGTTTGCTTGGTAAAAGGCAGCCATTTTTGAATAAATCTTTCTTGTCATCAAAATTCAAGGAAAAGCGCTTATCAGTTCAACTTGAAATTTTTACAGATGCAAGAGTAAACTAGTGCCAAGGTCTCATTAGGTTTTGGACATTCTAGGTAAATTACATGGTGACCATTTCGCTATTCAAAGTGCGATATTTATCACTCTGTGTCTTGTTTCCATTGTGACCGATCCCCATCTGTTTCCCTCCTTGCCCATTGTTGTTTTGAAAAAGTAGTTGCCTGCAATGGGATTAAACATATGCCCTCAGCATGTATTTGGGATGGTACGTTTTATGGAAGTTCTATATTAAATTTAGAGACCAATCTATCAACTGAATAATCATCATTTGTCAATAACAGGGGCATTGTGACTTTGGACTTACCTTGACCATTGATAATGCTGTTTTTGTTTGTTTCTAGATTATATATTAACACGCATACCACTGTGACCTATTGAACTTATGTAACAAACGACTAGATTATACAGGCAGTATCATATACTACAAATAAAGCTATATGGTCAAATTGAATAAATACTCATATATTTAAAGAAATATATATATTTTTGTGTTGGCCGGCAGAATTCCCATGTCGCAAATATCTAGGCATTTTACATTCTTTATATAGCCCAGGCCTTGTTTTGTAGTTTGGCTATCATATGTGTGGCCTCTTATTGTTTGATGCTTCTCTGCCATGTTATTTTCCAAAATATTAACATGACTAAAACTCCCTAAATTACAAAAGGCCATAGCTTTGCTGCACATTATACATAACTATCTGAAATATACAAAAGTTAGGACTTGTAAATATGTTTCTATTTTTTCATATCCTGTTGCAATATAGTCATTTGATTGCTTATTTTTTGAATTCAAAGTAGTTCCAAACATTTAAAATTTTACTTTAATAACCACGATCTGTTTTTAATCTAAAAGGCTTCTTTTGACATTTCAATTGCAAATGGTTCTCCCCTTACACAATACAACGTCCGGACCCTTCTCTGATACAACACTCAAGAGCGGTAGAATATAGATTTACTTCATCAAACCTGGAATACTTTGTCAATGTCAAACAGGATCACAGAAAAACACAATGATGACGTCTACGACTGCCCCAACAATGAACAATAATTTTGTCAAAGAACATGATCTCGATACTACCCAAGATGGGACTATTGGGAAACTATTTTCGTCAGCCAATGAACATCCAGAACCAATAGAGGCTATTATAACAGGTAAAGTTCAATATCATCTGTAGTCCTGGATTCTATGAGTTTTCATAATAATATCGCTGATTGTTTAGCTATCGTTACCGCTTTGTAATTACCCGGGTAGGAGTAATGAGATTCATGGTATAATGTAAGGTTACACATTCTGATACTCATAGCATCTTTCTGAGAAGATTTGAGATGTCATGGTTTATCATGATGAAGATTACATGTCATTGTTACCTAAAATGTTAGTGTACTTATCACATTTGACATGATATCTACCATGAACAAGAAATGTAGGTCTTATATAATGACAAACACGTCTTTCAGGGACTATTCCCAAGTGGATAAAGGGAGGATTACTTAGGAATGGACCAGGGAAATTTGAAGTTGGCGAGGACAAATACAACCATTGGTTTGATGGCCTTGCCCTATTGCATCGATTTGACTTTGAAGACGGTGTCGTCAAATATCATAGTAAATTCTTAAAAAGTGATTCCTATGTCAAGGCCATGGAGCAGAATCGAATTGTAATATCAGAATTTGGTACATTTGCCACCCCAGATCCATGCAAAGGATTTTTGGATAGGTAGGTATTGATATACGGCTTTAAAATCGTCTGCTTAATTGAATATTCAACTGTAACATTCTATATACTCCTGTCATACCTTGGAACATGCATTTGAATGATTTGTAGATTCCTATCCAAATTCAAGCCATCTGTATCAGACAACAATAATGTGAATATATTTCCCATCGGTGACGGGGTTTATACAGCAACTGAGACGAGCCTTCTGCGGAGGATAGACCACGAAACACTTGATACGGAAGACAAGGTAAGTTGGTATTTGTGTTTTCATTATGTCATATGCCGTAGTCTAGAATATAGGTCTCATTCCCTTTATTACCAATTTTGATAAATCCTGTTTTAATGGCAGGTGGATTTGGTGAATCTGGTTTCTGTAAACCTCTCGACAGCCCATCCTCACTACGACCAAGACGGGACGTACTATAACATTGGAAGCAATTTCAAGGCTGGTTTATATCATGTTATCAAAGTTAAACCTAACGTAAACGTGTCAGATCCAGTTGAAGGTGCAAAAATACTGAATACAATTAAAATGGAGAGCAGAGCTAAACCAGGCTATTACCATAGGTGTGTATCTATTTATGCATCCCTTTGTCAGATTTCTCTTCATCAGCCTTTGTTCATAGGTGTAAACTTACGTCTAGATAAAACACAAATCACCACTTTAATTTAAAGATCTTGTATGCACTTGTAAAACCATTTATTCACCATAAACTTTTAGTTTCTCTATGTCTGCCAACTACATTATCTTCCACGAACAGCCATTGCGGATGAATCTGTTGGGTATTATGACGAGGCCGCTGTTTAAAACAGACATAGCCAAATTGATGATCTTTGACAGGAAGTTGAAATCAAAGTTCCATATCTGCGATAAAAATACAGGTAGGGTACAATATTCAGGAGTTTCTACAGTTTCTACAAAGAGTAGAACTTTTACCACAAAACATCAAGGCTCCGTTTCTGTGGACTTGTTGTGGCAGTCACGCGCGCTAACATTCGACATGTCATCATTTGGATACCCATTGCATCCTCTTTCTAACAATGTTTATTTACCAAAATGGGTGTGTTTACATGTACATTGTACATAAATCAAGAGAATAATAACGTTTAACTTTATAAAGCCTATATTATTAGCGAAAAGCGTCCACCGTAACTTGGAATTAAAGAAAAATATTGCCGGAATATCAGGTCCTAATTTTCACAAATATTGTAAAATGACCTGATGTATACAAAGTTATATAAAATGAGAAATATATTCGGTACATGAATTTTTTTTAAAATGTCCTACTTTTCTACCTTAACATAGGTCGGTTTTCCCAAAGTCAGTAACTGTTGCATACCGTGGCTGACACTATTTATCGTGTATTGTACAAATCGTGTACCATTTTTAACTTATTTTCATCTTCATTTTCTTACATCACTCTACAGGAGAAACATGGCCGCTTAAATTTGTAATGGAACCATTTTTACACATCCACACGATGAACTCATTTGAAGAAGACGGCCATCTCGTCATAGACATGGCCTGTACTGACGAAGCCTCCCCATACGATGACTTCTACCTAAGTAGCTTCAAGAAGGTACGAATACATTTTAGATCGTCAATACTTCTATCATATACAGGGGCGTAGCCTACTTTCAGTGAGGGGGGTCGATCGCCAAAAGCCGATTTTCAGTCAGGGAGGTACAATCGTGGCATAAGAAACCCCCAAAATGTTAAAGCTCTTTTCTTCTTCTCTATCTAATAGATCTATTTTATTGGTTATGGGGGACACCCCCTCCTGGCTACGTCTAATGATATATAACACATTATTTAATTTGACACTTGTTGTTTGTACATAACATTTCTTTTTGTAGATGACTGCGGATGATGCTGCACCAAAAATGAAGGATGTTAAGTTAACGCAACTCCCACGGAGATTCGTGATCCCATTAGATGTAACACCCGAAAGCTCTAAAGATGTCAATCTTGTCACACTATCTGGAACAACTGGTAATAGCACATCTTCAAGTTAGGAGGATGGCCTCATTTATTCTATCATATATATACAAGGGTTCCAAAATATGTATACTTGCACACATTTTTGTCACCTCTATCACCTTTAATATGCAGGATCCAGATCTAATTCTTCAACGTATGAAAACAGTTCAGCTCGATTTTAAAATGCTCTAGGCGTTAAAATATATTTGCAGATACTTGAGTTAACCTGAGATAAAATTGATAAATGGACTTCTAAAACACCACTAAATCACACAACCCATCTCTCATTTTTCCAGGAATATATTGGTAAATCAAAAAATATTCAAAATATATGAGCAACGGTGTGCATGTTATGAGCAACGGTGTGCATGTGTGAGAATAAAGGACGATTCTCGGTTTGGAGAAAAGTCTCCTAGGCTAATAATTTTTTTTATGAAAAATATAGAAATATAACCCAAATTAAACTATGAATATTTAAAAGAGGACATTTAAATCTATAAGATGTAAAAATAACAAATTGGTCTGAAGCAGGGATAACGCTCAATTAGACCGATTCGATAAAATACAAGTCTCGATTTGGGGGGAAAAGTTCATCAGTGTACTGCGCTAATATTTTTTGGCGAAAAATCTAGAAATATTACCCAAATTAAATACTATTCAAAAGAAGACATTCAAATCTATATTATGTAAAAAAAATCAAATTTGTCCGAAGCAGGGATAATGCTCATTTAGATTGATGAACTTCGTTCTCCAAACCGAGAATCGTCCTTTGAATTTGCATATTGATGGAGTAATAAGTTGACAGAATTGACTTGATTTTTGGACTACTCGGGCCTGTAGTGCTAATTTAATTCAAGATTCATCAATCCAGTTATTGTTAAAGCCATCCTCTGGTTAAGTAGTCCATAACTGTTGTCATCATAATATGTCGGCATCACTTGTAATCGGCTCGTTTACTGTAAATATTGTTGTCCCTAAAGCACCCCCTTGTCCATTCAAGTGCACGAAAATAAGGACATAGAAGATGGGAGAGTGTTCGACTAACTGTTTTTTCTTTTGACTCAACTTATATAAACAGATACGTCGACATATAAATCAACAAATTGAGAGTGTCCCTCTCTCCTTCCAGCTACTGCGATCCTAAAAGAGGATGGCTTCGTCCACTTGACTTACGAGCCTTTATACACTGATGAATTTGTGAAGATGAGTAGTGGTTTCGACTTTCCAAGAATAAATTACGACTTTTACAACACAAAGCCGTACAGGTATTGCTACGGGGCTGGCTTTGATAGGATTCTGGTGGACAAGTTGATCAAACTTGATATTTCTACAAAGAGTGGCAAGGTAAGTCTGAGACTGAAACATCATATCCAATTCAATTCACGATCATTTCTCTTGCTAACTAAATATGATAATATCGTCCAATATCACATATTTAGATATTATACCATATGTTACACTACTTTTAATAATGATAAGATAATCCTGTTCCAATTCAGGTGTGGAAAGAGGACGAGTGTTACCCATCAGAACCAGTGTTTGTTCCATCGCCCAATGCTACTGAAGAGGATGAAGGTATATATCAGGTGTCCAAAAAGTGAATTGCTTTTTGACAAGTATTTTCTCATCGCTTGATCACTAAATTTCTAAAGTAGCCCAAGGGTATCATTAAAGCAAGTTGTTCAAATGTGAAAGAGATCGGTCACACGTTATGTGAGAAATCATAAATTCAAAAATGCATATCAAAAATCCAGTATCAGATCTGTGCAAAGCGAGACCTTCATAGCGTTTGTGGCTGCTATCAGGTGATATCATCTGTCACTCAGTTTCAGTCTCAAATAGCTCGACTGTGTCAGAGCTATTTGTTTCATTATTCTCTGTATCTAAAATACCTGTGCCAAAATACGTTCTGATTTCCAACCGTTTTCAGTGTGTAGGGCTAAACAATGTCTTTAAGTGATAGCGATGAGGCTTCCTTTGAAAACTGTTTCAAGGTGAAACGTTTGGGTGGAAGATGAATCGTAAAGGAATTGAGGAATTAATACAAGAATTAGAGTCATGTTACTGTAATTAGATGAACAAAAATGCAACAAAACAAAACAAAAAATTCCTTCAGACTTAAATAAGTGTATTTTCCAGTATTTATATGGCACTTTCTAATGTTCCTAATAGAAAATTCGGCTCATCCATTGATGAGAATATCGTTGTCAAAAGCTGTTCACTTTTTTGGGACACCCGATGGATGATGTTATATGTATTATAGCTCCCATAAAACGAGCCAATTTGTCAAGTGGTCCCTCTCTCAGTTCATTCTAAAAACATACTTTTATAATTCTCTGCATATATTATAATTATGCACCTTTCTTTATTTTGCAGGTGTGGTATTATCAGTGGTTATAAGCCCAAACAATGCCAAACCTACTTTCCTGTTGGTTCTTGATGGCCAGAGCTTTACCGAGTTGGGCCGAGCGACTATTCCCTACGACATCCCGTATGGTATGCACGGGATGTTCATGTAAGGACCTTCTTCTATGGTCTTCTCTACGTTTTCGGCTAGAGACTCTACTAGATGTAGGGCACCTGGTATCTGATAATATGGGCAAACAATGTCAATTGCCAGAAGGAACGATATCGTTTAAATGTTTGCATATGTGATCAGGTTATGTTCATATTTACTTGTACACATAGACGATCGATGTAAGTTGAGACAAATGTATCACTATTCAATACAAATACACATGACAATTGACATTAGTGGATGCGGAATATTTGCATAATGATGCAAAAGAATAAATGATAACGTGTAACAGATATACAGAAATAGATAATACGCAAGATGAGTATTTTTATGACTTAACTTTCTCATAATTTGTTTTCTCCCTTTCCTGTTGTCAAGTTAAAGAGAGAATCAGATCTAGCGAGCATCCTAACAAAAAATTGTTTCAATTTTAGAATATTTCTGGCTTATGTCATTCCTTTTCATGTCTATTTTCTAAAAATCCCCAAAGTGCACACTTTATTTCAGGGAAACTAAAGATTTTACAATAATGTATTGTTTTTTGTAAGGAATAGATTGGTAGGTCAATTGTACATGTTGCTTGTAATTTTGTCACTCCCATATATCTGATTCTGCCTTTAAGGCCAGGGTGCACTTTGGAATTTTTTGCAATTTTGAAAAGTAAACCACTGAATATTCTAGTTATTCAAACATTCTGAAGAATTATTAACCCTCAATTAATAGTCTAGGTATACTAATGCATCTTTGTGCAAGAATGAAAGATGTAGATGATGTGTGGAATGAGAAATGTTTATCTGAAATTTCATCAAAGTGCACCCTGACCTTAATGCTGAATGCTTTCATAACATAGATGTCGGCTTGCTGTAGTGAATTCAAGAAATATACCTAGACACTTCTTGGCAACTGATAAATCAAATTCACTGAAATTTTTTTTTACAAAGTAGCCCAAGAGTATCGTCAGCAAGGTACCAAAAATTTAAAAGATCAAGTTAATGTAACGTGGGTACAAAGGAATTCAAGATAGCATGTCTCTAAAGGACCTTATACACCCTCCATTGGGATCTCCCCATGGGAAAAAATAATTCATCTGATTTTTCAAAATGAGTATTCTGCTTCAATTATTACATTTATATGCACACTAGTATCTTGTTGACCTATATTCAGCACTGTATTGATGTATAGGTCAATTATTAGGGTCATAATTCAATCATGAAGTGTAGAGGCATAGATTCCAAACCAGGAAGTATTTTTGTGTCTGTCAAAATCCATTTACATCCTACGCATCCCTGCATCTTATCCAAATATGTTACTACATAATGAAATATAATAGTATAATCTTTGGTTTTACAAACTTGTATGATATTTGATAAGTGTAAAGTTGTTTTTGGAGCATTTTTCTATATCCATTTTGTAGGGAAAAAAATGATGAAAAATGTACAATCTTTTAATTTTAAGTATGACCTGAATCGATTGCAAACTTCATATTTGCACATTTGATGAGATAAACCATTTGTGTCGTATTGTGAAATTATTAAGTTTGCAATCGATTCAGGCTATAGTGTATTTTTGGTATTTCTGTGATAATCAATGGCCAATGGCACCAATGGCCTCTATTGGGATCTGCTGATATCCTCATGTTAAGTCAATGGTGCACAGCCCCATTTAAGTCAATACAACCTTACTGAACGAAATGATCCCTATCTCAGCTTATGTGTGTCCGAGCACTTTAATATTTTCCAAAGTATTATATGACATTTTATTCTTCATGTTACACCTACGAATGATTCATTTTGACCATAGGGATATTTGCCAATAATTGCACCTTGTCCTTTGAAAGTTGTTGATTCTATCCATTGGACATTCTATCTACACAAAAAATCACGTAGAAGCCTTAATTTTGTGTCACCTTTAGACATTTGAAAATCAAAAGACTAAACCACCTTTTTTCGAAAATGTCTCTTGAACAATGGTTAAAGGGACCCAACACCATGGTCACATGATCAGTCGTGTGGAGGTAAGCTCCCAGTTGAAATAAAATCACTGTCCTCCTTTGGTTTCTGTGAAAAGTAGCTAATACCCTCATGTATTGGTCAGTTTGTGTGTCACACGACTAATCCCCACCATATGCTTCATTCAACATATTTTATGCTATTGAGCTGCATATATAAACAGTACTTTGCAACTAAGGTCATACAGTATACTTACCCCTTGCAAATTGTAATTTATTGAATTCACAGTAACCCATCAATTTTTAAGAAAACAAAGAATATTGTTCTCATGGATCTATTATTTATGTTAGACTAACTATGAAAATATAAATATGAAATAATATGTTAGCTTGAAGTCATATATAAGATGAAAATATATGTTCATGCATTTGCATTTTCCAAAGGGAATATTCCCATGTAAGTAAATACAGGTGCAATATATAATTTATATGTATATCTATGTCATCTGTCTATACATGCGCGTATAGCCTAGTGTTACATGTGAACAAGATGGTTCTGGAAAGAAATGAGCGTGGCAGATTTGCTAAAATGCCACATACACCACAAAAGCAAGACCAATTTGAAAGTAAGTTCATTATTCTCAAGGGTACACTTCAAGTGAAAGCTACATTGCTACAGGGTGGCCTATCATTCTGAGACAAATGTATTATCCAACGATTGTGATTTTCGAAGCTAAAATATGATATCTTGAGCAGATGGAAATACATTCCCATGAGATATGTATATATAGTCAAAAGTGATAACTATTTATTGAGTGTAATGAAATGTATCCTTCGCTAACTGCTTTTGTTTGAGATAATTATCATGAAATGTTTTTAAATCAATTTTTATGTGTGTCATTGATCCTAATCCACCCTGTAGTCTGGTGTTTGTAGAGCATTGCGACTCGTACAACTTATTCTCACAAATATCAAACCTCATTTACTAATTAATTTTTTGTGTGAATATGAAGAGTCCAAGCATTGCTTTTTTATGTTTATTGTATAGCTATATTTAGCCTTGATATCCATGATTTTTTAAAACAAAATCTCACCGTTAGATTTCGGGCTATTCATGTTTACTCATTTGTCTAATTGGAAAACAATGCAAATCTCATTTTTTCAAAAAAAAAATTGAAATTCTAAGACGGTGAAAAATCATTAAAAAATACACAGATTCAGAATCCGGCAAGCATTTTCCCTTATTCCTCTCCGTTAAGAAGTTTTGCAAGGTGTTGGATTCCTTTAAGCAATGTTTTCAAACGTTGCCAGGGGCCCTAAAATACCCAGAAGATAGTTGAAACAAATGTGATTTTTATGTAATTAAATAATCGTCACTTTCCGAAACATTCTCTTTAGTATTTTGGTGCGGAATGTCACTTTTACTCGCAGATTACTTCCATATCGATATTGATAATATTGCTAGTGCTATACAAGATATCTGACATACAGTATACAAACGTTTTTGCGTGTAAACACTGTTAATGCACTATGGTCTTTTGATTGCTTATTTTTTAGATCTATTGAATCACAACTCAATGTGACAAAAACACGATTACCTTCAAAATCAGAGGGATTACTTTTTTTCTTTCTAGTTCAAAAGATATAAGCGGTTGAATTTTGGCGTTTTGGCGTTTGAATAAAAAATGGTGCCGTATTTAAGCAAGTGCAATTCAAGGGTTTTATTACCATAACTGACTCCACTACTATAAAAGATTAAGTGTCACCCCTTGAAAGGTTTGAGTGGAATTAGTCCGATTCTATTTCGGTACACTTAGTTCAGGCTTTGCTTCTTCGTAGCAATTTTTACATAGAGGTCATGATTGCAGTCTTGGTCATGTTAACCTAGTCATAAATTAACTGAAACCGAGTTGCAGATGAATAAATGATCATTCGTGCTGTGTAGAGGAACAGCCAGTTAGCTGTGTAGAAGCGAACAAAAAGCTATGCGACAAGAATGGCTTCTTCAACGCCAGCATCACCGTCAGAACTAAATTTTGATGGAGATGGAGAGATTGGGAAAATGTTCTCAACAGTGGAGGAACACCCTGAACAGATAGAGGCGATTACAACAGGTACTGTAACTGACATCATTTTCCTCACGAACAATCAGATACTATTCTATATGATTCTTGCCCGTAGCCAGCTTTTACCAGGAGGGGGAGCTTTTTCCAGGGGGGAGCTTTTTCAAAATTTTGGCTAAAAAATCATGCTTGAAATTCTCAGAGTGGTCAAAAACTGATGATTTTGAAAACAATTCCGGCCAGGGGGGGAGCTTCTGCTCCCCCAGCTCCCCCTCTGGCTACGGTCCTGTGATTTACATACGAAATGTATTAAACACAACTATTCTAAAATGACTGAGATTTGTCTCTTGTTTCAGGGACTATTCCCAAATGGATAAAAGGAGGATTACTAAGGAATGGGCCTGGGAAATTTGAAGTTGGCGAGGACAAATACAACCATTGGTTTGATGGCCTTGCCCTATTGCATCGATTTGATTTTGAAGACGGTGTCGTCAAATATCATAGTAAATTCTTAAAAAGTGATTCCTATGTCAAGGCCATGGAACAGAATCGAATTGTAATATCAGAATTTGGCACATTTGCCACCCCAGATCCATGCAAAGGATTTTTGGATAGGTAGGTTCTAGCAGCCTATACAGCATAAAGCATAGTAGTCCCTGATCTGGACCCTCTGAAAAAAGTTTTGTTGTCCGGTACTTTCCCACATAAAATGATTGTACCGTTTGAAAGAACAGACTTCCCTCTTAAAGAAAACACCTCTTCTTTTGATGTAAACAGGGGCAAAAGGCACCAAAACGGGGTTAGACAAGGTGGCATTCTGAAGTCTCACTTTCTTGTCATCACGATTCCAGGTAAACCATCAGACGGATTTACTTCAAGTTTTCACACATGTTACATGGTAAGAAGTTCTAGAGCTGATTAACTTTGCAGCGGCCATCTTGCATTCTGGTGGCCATCTTGGAATTTTTTCAGATAAATATTGTCATTGCGATTCCACAAAAACCACATAACAGATGTACTTCAAATGTTCACACATGTTACATGGTAAAAATCCTAGACCTCATTATTTTTTCGGTGGCCATCTTGCATTCTGGCAGCCATCTTGGAAGTTTTAAGATAAATCTTGTAATCACGATTTCAGGAAATCCACTTCACAGTTTTACTTCGAATTTTCATACATGTTACATGGTATGAAGTTCTAGAGCTGACTAATTTTCGGTGGCCATGTTGCATTCCGTCAGCCATCTTGGAAGTTTTTAGATAAATCTTGTCATCACGATTCCATGAAAACCACGTAACAGTTTTACTTCAAATTTTCACACATGTTACATGGTAAGAAGTTATAGAGCTGATTAACTTTCGGATAGCCATCTTGCATTCTGGCGGCCATCTTGGAAGTTTGAAGATAAATATAAAATACAGTCAAAGCATTTACCACCAACAAAGGATGCTCTCATTCTCCATATAAATAGAGCCAACTATCAGGCCTATATTTGGCGAAACGTAGGCAAATCAATGATTGATTATCAATCCCCCACATTACATGGTTGGACATTCAAAGGGAATAAACTACAAATTAAGTGGATGGAAAACGGTTCTGCCCCACAAGAAATGAAGGAGCTTGTTGCTTGTAGTTGTAAAAGAGTGTGTGACTCAATGAGATGTAGTTGTAAGAAACAGGATCTCATTTGTGGAAGTTCATGTAAGTGCCGCAAAGGTGTGTGTGAGAACTGTCCAACCCATCAGCACGATGATGTTGATGAGAGCGACAATGAATTTGAACCAGTTGATGACACCATTACACCAAACGTTGAAGATCAGGAAGAAAATGAATTACCTGAAAATCTCTAACCTGACAACTGGATGAACCAACTTGTCAAAGTTGATGCCATAATATGAATTATCTCACCCTGTATATACACTGGTGATCCGCTCGATTACAGGTACGATTTGTCCTTATTCCTTATTTCATGCGTTGTAGGCAGAATCCTCTCGACGTTTTTTCTCACAAACGTGAATCAGTATCATATGTCTTAGAAAATGTACATGTTTGCGAAAAATAGCTCAGAAGACGACAGAATCGTCGATTTAATTCCTAACTTAAGTTACATAAAGGTTTGGGTTAAAAGTGCAGATCTGAACTGTTTTTCGAAATACCGTTTATGTAACTTAAGTGAGGAATTAAATGTACGATTATGTTGTCTTCTGAACTATTTGTTTGCAAATATGCACATTTTCTTAAACATATGATACTGATACACGTTTGTGAGAAAAAATGTCGTGGGAATTCTGCCTACAAAGTGTGAAAGGAAAAAGGAAAAATCATACCTTCGATGTTCCCACATTTTGTTACCTAAACAAACCGTTTTGGTAACCAGCATAATCGAGTGGATCACTATAATATACTTTAGTAGTCTTAAATAATGTTAGGGAGGATGAGTTGTAAGGCATATTATGTCATGTTAGATCATGATCTATACTATTTTTATTACAACTTATCAGTTTCACTTTCTCCATGCTAGGTTCTGTTATAACTTTTGTTCCGTTTCCTATGGCATCCGTGCTTTATACATTTACATTCACAATGGTCCCTTCCTGGTATATTTTTAGGTTTTATAAACAGGTTTATTATTACTTTTATGACTGTTAAATCAAGGGAAAGATCAATACCCGGTGATTTCAGCGGGAAGTGGCGTTTCGTTCAGTGGATGAGCTGCGCACGCACGCATAAATGTGATTATCCAATATAATTAGGGGAGGGCTATTTGAAGTAGTTTTTGGTCTCAGGCGCGACCCAGGGCTGTTGTCTTAAGGACATTTCGTTGAAAATGAGCCATTCGGCTGATAATTGGTAAGAGTTTGCGATCTTATAATGTATAACTGTTACTCAGACACATATTTTGACACGATTCTGTTGGAAATAAGCTTTGAACCGAGAGATATTCACGATTGATATGCACATTTTTGATTGTGCCATTGCTTTTCTATTGCACAATCCATGTATTGATAGAAGAAACATTAATAATGCAGATTGGTTTACCTTCAATACATGGCAGACACTACATATCGGTCTAATAATACCAGTTTGTGCCTTAAATAGTTTTATATTTCCATCCACGGCCCAGTGGAGCCTGGGTGTGTTTGTCTCTTATGTGTATGCTTGTGCATGGACTTCTAATCTCTAGCAGAATTTAACATGATGCAAACTCGACATTATAACTCATGCTGTAACATTTTGACTTCGCTGGAAAACAATAGGAATTATTTTTCTTGCCAATCAATCATGAATCACAATCAAAATTTCAGAATGATCAATCAGGCAATTGTCCAAATCAAGTTATAACATTATATGATATTCAGCAAGAAGTCCGGTAGAAATACAGAATATTTAAACATCAAAGCTGAAAGTTAAAAGCTAATCTGTCAATTTTCTGTCTGCAAAAGAGCGTTTACATTTGACACAATAACAGACTGAGGCTTTGAAATCTAGGATTCCCCAGGAAAATATGACGTCATACTAATTAGCATAAGGATTTCCCTATTGGTATGGGTCGAGCCTTGTTCGAAAACACAATCCATAAATACATGCTAATATCTAAGGAGATAGGAAGTGTATAACGTGTTTATCGATTTTGTTTAAAGATTTAATCAATTATCAAATTGTTTAAGTGGATGAAGTGGTCACACTTGCTTCAATTCATAGCGAAATCGACGGATAGAAACTGACCGAATTCCCGATATCCTACCCCGTATTACTGTAGGCTATAAGCACAGTGACCTACAGAGGGCGCTATCACAAACAAGTACTGCACGAACCGATAATTTCCCGGGTATTGTAACGCCCTTGGTTAAATTATATAGTCTAGTTAACACCACTTTATAAACAGGTTTATTATTACTGGTGTAACTAACACAACGAAAAAAAATATAATTAATTTATTTGATTTTATATAACATGAAATTATTTTTTCTTTTCGATAAAACATTGCTTATTAGAAATATATTTAGTTGAAAACTTAGAGTAAACAATCAGTTCTTCTATCACAAAGTTTATTTTGGTTCAGTAGATTTTTCAATACATTATTTTTATGTCACCACCACTAGTGATTGGGTGACATATTGTAATAGCTTCGAACGTTTATCTTGACACTGTTCAGTAGTTAATGTGTACTGTATACTTAACAAGGTGTGGTGACATTTTGCATGTTTCTGCATCGTCACTACTATTGAAAGCTTATGTTGATACTGTAGCAGTGTTTTTAAAGTTCTTTTTGTTGGTACAATTAGTTTCCAAACCCTATACTTATATCGATCTGACACACAGTTTTAGTGCAGGTTCAAGTGATTTTTGTTGATTATTAAACGCAAAGAGCACATGTGTCTCGAACTCGCAACATTGTGGATACAGAGCCCATTCACATAGTTTGACATGCTGGTGCTCTGAACCAGCTCGTTAGTTAATATCTGACTAAGAGACAGCTTGCTTTCCCGATGAAGAAACGTTATCTGCAGCTTTTATGAGTACTATAGTATCTACAACTATTTTTGATCTTATTAGTATTGGATATCATTATTTTCAATTTTTCTTCAACATGTATTTTAATGACTTCAGTATGAATGGAATGTCCCTCGGAGTTGTGGTCGTTGATGAGGAATTGGTCATTGAACGGTGTGGATGCTGTTTACTCCCATATTAGATTATTATCTTGGGATATTCAGGTTTGATTTTTGTTTGCCAGTTTTACACTTTACAGTTTGCTTTTCCAACTAGGTTGCTTTACACTTTTTTCCTTTCTCATTTGTCATTTTTGTTTATATTTAGTAAGGATATGATACGCAGGTCTCTCCTTCTGTGTGATCACCTGTCCAGAAGATAATTCAACTGCATGAAGAACATTTCGTTGACATGATGCACAGTGAAAGGTTTTCCACACATTTACATTTTCGTTTAAAAGAGCTTTAATTCCGTTATATACTCAGATCAAGGCCAATTTAGCATACATTTCGCTCTCAAAAATCACTGTGCAATAATGGATTTCAAAGAAATGTTTGACGTTTTCAATAATCTTTTTTCTTTTTGATGAAATGTAGTTATTTATTCTAAAAATCAATCGATGCATTTAAAATTTAAAATGCATTTAAGTGGCATGAAGTACAGAAGCAGAGTAAAAATATGTATTTTAGAATATCACCATGTATTACCCCATTGTAGCGCCTCTTGCCCATGTTTCTATCAATATAAAACATGATATCATACACCAAATATGCATTTATGTCAAATTATGTGGTTTAAAATACAGAAAAATAGATAACATTCTCCTTAGAATACCACCTTGTGTAACCCCACTTTACTGCCTTTTGCCCCTGTTTATATCAATATAAAAGGTAGCATGTAACCTTCCTTGTACCATGTGTAAAAGTTTCAAGAAAATCAGTAAAGTGGTTTTCCTGGAATCACAATGACAAGATTTATCCAAAAAACTTCCAAGATGGCCGCCAGAATGCAAGAGGGCCACCGAAAGGTTAATTAGCTCTAGAACTTCTTACCATGTAAATATGTGTGAAAATTTGAAGTAAATCCGTTTGGTTTTCCTGAAATCGTGATGACAAGATTT